CTGATGCCGCCGCCGGGCCGCCCTCCGAGCCTGCGTCCCGGGGAGCAGGGGCCCCATGGAGACGCCCGGGCCGGCCCAGGCGGCCGCGGCGGCCCCCGGCCCCCGGCTTCTCGACGACCCGAACGCGTGTGGGACTCCCGACGGGGAGCCGCGCCCCGAGGCGCACACTTATCGGCTGCAGGACTTTGACACGCTGTCCACTGTGGGTGAGTGCACGTGGGGGCGTCCACGGACTCGTGCTCCAGGGACATTGCTGCCGGGTCCCCGCGCGGGCCGCACCCCGGGATTCGGAGGGCGCACCCCGGACTCGAAGGGTGCACCTTGAACTGGGAAGGCATGCCCGGGTACTCGCTGGGTGCACCCTGCACTCGGAGGGCGCACCCCGTGAGCTTTCCGACCAACCTACCGGACCCCTGACTCCACGTCTCTCCACGATGCCCCTCCATACCCCCTTTCTCAGCTCCCAACACCACAAAACTTCGTGAGCCCCCTCCCCACCACCACCTGGGACCCGCCCAGGAATCTTTTCCCAGCAATGGAGGCGCTGGCCCCGAAGGGGGTCCCCGGACCCCACCCCGGTCTCGCTTGCCTCGGTGTGGAATTAGCAGTTGGAACCGGGTGGGGTGGGGTGGGGTGGGGGCTCAGAGCTGCAGAGCTTGTTAGTGGCGTTTTGGGGGTGGGGGTCGGTGTGGAGAGGAGTTCCACGTTTTCTGACTTTGCATCTTGTTCCTCTGAGAGCTGGGAGTCCTTTTTATGAGATAACTTCCATTTCCTTTGCGCTCTGGCAGGGAACTTGAGTCTGCTGCACTGCATGAAAGTCGGTTTCAAATTTGCTCACAGCCTAGGGATCCCAAAAGCACCAGAGTGGATCAGGATGCCCTAACCCGCGGCGGATTGAAACTCTCGGCACCAGAGGGCCTGTGGCTTCCTAGCAACTTTTGTTGCTAAGGAGGTTGAACTAAAGTGTTGATTATTAGGAAACTAAGCGGCGAGGGACCGCTTGTGTATAAAGAGCCCTGGGGACACAAGGGTTAAGCGCTTTGGGTATTGACTATTCCCAGAAAGTTTAGTGTTTTGACCCCTCCCAGTTTGAGAGGAGACCCAGAGATCTCTCCCACAAAGATTGGTGGTGGTGATTATGTTCCTCTATTCTGACTCGTAACGACCCTGTACAGGGTTTCCGAGGCTGTAAATCTTTACCGGCGCAGAAAGCCTCATCTTTATCCCGTGGAACAACTGGTAGTTTCGAACTGCTGGCCTTGCGATTCGCAGCCCGATTCTTAACCACCGCGCTACCATAAAGATTACAGCTAAGAAAAGCCTGTGGGCAGTTCCACTCAGTTCCTGAGGTCACTTGGAGTTAGCATGTTCTTGATGGTACCTATTAACAATCTTGTGTGTGGCTTTGACAAATAGCTTCTCAGGTGTCAAGTTCTGAGATTCTTTTGGAAAACTGGGACCAGGAGAGTACGTGGTTGGGTGGATCATAGAATATCATTCACTGGTTACCTTCTAGTTACTTCTGACTCATGGTGTGTCAGAGTAGAACTGTGTGTCAGAGTAGAACCGTGCTCCACAGGGTTCTCAGTGGATGAGTTTTCAAAAGTAGATCCCACTCATAGGGTCTCCATGTGTGTCAGAGTAGAACTGTGCCCCACAGGGTTCTCAGTGGATGAGTTTTCATAAGTAGATCCCACTCATGGTGCCTCCATGTGTGTGTCAAGAGTAGAACTGTGCTCACAGGGTTCTCAGTGGATGATTTTTCATAAGTAGATTCCACTCATGGTGTCCCTGTGTGAGTCAGAGTAGAATTGTGCCCCACAGGGTTCTCAGTGGATGATTTTTCATAAGTAGATTCCACTCATGGTGCCCTGTGTGTGTCAGAGTAGAACTGTGCCCCACAGGGTTCTCAGTGGATGATATTTCATAAGTAGATCCCACTCATGGTGCCCCGTGTGTGTCAGAGTA